AAACATAGCATGACAGAGAAAGAGTGAACAAGAGGAATGCGCTAAATATACGTGTTAACCCCCAAAGATTTGCTGCAATTATCTAAGAAGAACTGTGGGTCCAAATAGCACAGAAAAGGTTCTTGCATGAACTAGACATGCCCGAGGGAGCCAAAGGCACTTAGGAGATCTTTCTGTGACTAAGCTACCATTAATGAAAGATAATTCTAACAAACTAACTTTTAGTATAATACAATATTCCATAGGTACTAAATAATTTTAGGGTATATTTAAGATAATTATTAGATTTGTTGATTTTGAACTTTTAACAAGGCATCATTGAATCGAAGCTGTGAATGAAGTGGTTCTTACGACAGAGCCATAAATTACTAGTCTAAATTACTAGACCAGATTTATCAGGTCTGTTGCAGGCATGCTTATTTAAATTAGGCCCATTAGTGCTTTGCACAAATTCATAGTATTTGTAGGTTGCAATATGAATAGTAAAATTTTGATCCACATTTTGCATTATACCTGAGCATGTCTGTTATGCTATATAGATCAAATTTAGAATGAAACTACTGCAAAGAAAATATTTTGTTAGCTAGATTTAGCAAGATTTAAATACAGATTGCACATTTTAAAAGACTAGTTCTAGCTACTAGTATTACATCATTAGGAGAGTATTGGTCAGGTAATATTGCAATATGGTTAATTAACACAAATTTTATCAGTGCAGTTGGGTATTTGGAAGCAATAAGCTTCTAATTAGGAAGCAACAAACTTATGATAAAGACATTTAGTAAAGACTGCTAAATATGAAATTCTTTTTATAGAAGAGTTGATAGGACTGGTATTAATGGATTGCTAGGCATACCTAGCATGATACAGAAAGCTAATGGAAAATGTTCACATATGTATAGATATATATCTGCAATATTCTCTTGGTTAACAATTCTTCTTTCAAATATCAGGGTTTATTACTTTTTTTTTTTTGTAGAGAGAAGACAGTTTAAAATTTCTGCTTTATGTCTTGATTTCTCATGTGGGACTAAATTGTCAAACAGCAGTGGAAGAAATGGAAAACAGAAATCATAATTTTGCATGAGATAGCTCCTTTAACAATGGGCTGAGAGTGCCATATCACTTTCGTTTGAACAAATCTATCCTGCTAAAGAAATGTAGTCAGAACTTGAGTGAACTCAAACACTGAACCCATAATCTATAATGGATAATCCATAATGGGTAATGCCTACAGAAAAATAAATAAATAAGTAAATAAATAAGAGGATATTTCCTAGCTCTTTTTCTTTTGTACTTCTTCACTAGCTCAGTCCAAAGGAAAACTGATAAAGACAGGACCAGCTCTGGGCAACATGAACATAAGCCAATTTGTATTTGTTGGACTCTGAGAATATAATTCTACTTCTTGTCCATGCAGAACCATAATTATGGAGAATGTGCCTCCTGTGGGCTAACATTTGTCCTAGAGAGTCATTAATGGGTTTTAAAGATTTTTTTTTTCCTTTCCTGCTTACTAGTTTGATGATATAATTCTTTCTCAGGATTCCTGC